AATGTGGTGAGTATGGTATTTGATTTTAATGAGTCAGTTTGAGGCAGGGCGGGACGGGTATTTACGCCGTCAATTCGTCTTGAACCGATTACCCGTTAAATTTTTTTAATAAGTACCCATTAAAAAAAATAATTGGACAATTGAGATTTCCATTATTCATTTTATGAATGAAGATTGAATATGAATTGAGGTTGAATCTTTTGAGTTATTGAGTAGGAATCAAGTTCGATGCATAAGGATCAACGGACAATGATATTTTTTAGTATTGTTATGTTGATAATATTGTTTGTTAAATTCAAATTTTGCATTTGGGAATTGGGATATTGTTTGCATTTTCATTTGAAATATTATTTGCTAAATTGACTTAGTATTGTGTTTTTTTTTTTTATTTGTGTTATATGAGAATTTGAGAATATATCAACTGTAAATTGTGATATTGAAAATTAATTTGAATATTGAGAAATGTAATTTGTGAAAATTGAAAATGAGAAATTGGGGAAATTATAATTTTTGATAAATTGGTGTTTGGAATTGAAAATTGAAATTTTAATTATATTTTAAAATTAATTTTAATTCTAATACAGATTGTGGAATTATTTTTTCAATCGATGTCCCAACCTAGTTCTTGTAGTGGTGCATTTAATCTCGTAACTACTTCTAGTCGAGCAAACAATTTATGTAGTATTGATAACACAAATAAATCTCATATATCATTTATTTTATATTGTACTGTAATTTGATATAAATATACGATTTTTTACGTTATAGTGTATTTATATATAGAAAGAATAATTTTTAATATTATTTAATTTGATATTAATAAATGACATCACTATACGCCCGTTGACTGTTGACCGTCAACGATCAACAATTGCCCTAACTGGGTCGAAACCCTAGATTTGCCCTTCTTCATGGTTATTAACCGCCTGAATCGAGTTGAACCGAAATACGAATCAAATCGAGTCGAACCGAGATACGAATCGAACCGAACCGACTTATGTAGTTATGGTATGGATAAAAAATTTGTGGTTCGATGATGGTTTTGATTGAACTGACTCTAAACCAAATCGTTGCCAACCCTACAAATAGAGATAACAACTCCTATATTTCACCGACTTCTCCTACAAGATCTTCCAATTACACTCCTCAACCAAGTTGTTATCTCATATTCCCAAGACCTCTATAGGGTCTTTGGACAAAGACCAACCGTGGGAGGTATGCAGTGTAGGGTAAATCAAGGAAAAAGTCAGGAAATTCTAAAGTCAGAATTACCAGCTAACAAGGTATAGGAAATATTTCACCAAATGAGTTCAAAGAACTCTAATTCCTCCAAAAGTGTTCACACGATTTCAAGGTTGGTTTCAGATCCACAGTTCAATCGAAGATCTGGTATCAAGAATTTGCAAGCCTTGCTTTGTTAGCATTGAAAAGATCAATTAATACCCAACATTAGTCAAGAATCGAACAAACCAGCAACACATCGCACACAAAAACTGCATAAACTAAAAATTAACACAAAGGAATTTTCGACCTAAGCCCCAGAGGTTCGGCGATAACATGTAACGCCTAATCCCCTGTTGAGCATTCATTATAAATAGATAAAGCTCGATTGCACTATAAGTCAAAAATACAAACAGTTTAGTGACGACTGTCCAAAGTCATAGAGACTTATCTTTCCAAACGAGCCAAGATCGATCAATAGCTTATACCAAGAATCACACCAGAACACTCAGTTCTGTGTTAACCTCCACTAATCGACTGAATCACTCAGATTCACCTATCAATCACTCAAAAATACAAAGCACATACTCGATCTGAAGTATCCCTCAAAGATTACAACATTTGCACACTTAGATCAATCAAGAATGCAAAACCTTAGTGAGGGAATGAGGTTTTCTCTTTCTAAAAGTAGAGGAACAGGCAAACCAACCAAAAGTTTCTAACTAACCCCAAGCGTCATTGGGAGATATAAAGCAAAAGAGTCTAGAAGCTTCATCCACTGATCTCAAATGAGCCAGGTGTCATCAATCCAACTATAGGCTATCATTTAAAGAGTTGTCATTTGATAAAACTCGCTTTCAATAGATAAAATTTTGAGAGCACACTTTCACTCCATTAGATCCAGGTTTAGAGCCACAACATTATATCATGTCGAGGTCGTTCCTTTCACATGCCGGGTCACCTTAAATCTAAATGACTAGCTTATTTTAACATCTCTATAAATCTAAGCTTTTCATTTAGCTGAGAAAAGTTATACTACCACACAATAATTTCTTAATAAATATTATTAAGAATAATTGTAAGCAGGGGTAGAGTCACGGGAAATAAAATATTTATATTGAGTTGATACACAGAGAGAGAGAGAGAGAGAGAGAGAGAGAGAATTTAATTGTTAAGCCTAGGCCTGCCCTTCTCCCTACGCCCTGTAAGGAAAAATTGCAGTGATGTTCCCAATCTTTGCATTTTAGCAGTTGCGGATCTAGGTGGTGGTGAGCTAGGGCGGCCACCCTAGCTGGATTCGCTAGAACCGCCTGGAGCCTTTTTTTTTTTTTTTGGCAATAGATTAAAGTTTTACGTTATATTCCTGGTATTCAATTTATTTTCAAGTAATTTGTGTGGCTCGCTTGGTCAGCCGTTGAATGTGCATGGTGGAGGTCTCTGGTTTGAACTTTTTTAACTAACAAACTATTGTGCAATAATATTTTAATATAACAATTTTTGCCAAAATTGAAGAGAGTGGGGGACCAATCAAAAATTCGAACTTGTGATCTTTTCTTAGATATAGTATGATCTTCATCACTATGACACCCATCAATTACTTGCAATAAACTTAACAAAATAATATTTGTTAAGTTCTATCTATTATAATGTGAGTGCAATCATAAGGATTAGAATCTGTGTTCTTCCTTTAAAATATACAAAGATTGGCAATAATGTCATTAGATGAGTCTATTTATTCTTATAAAATAATTATATACGTTCAATTTGGACAAAATAATTATTAAAATTTAAATTTTAGGTCTTATTTGATTCTTATTTTTTTTCAAATACATTTTTTTTATCTCTTTTTTTTAAACCACATATTCATCAAAAAAAAAAATAATATTGTATGCAGATTCAATTATTTTTTTCCATTGTCGAAGCTGCTTGTTCTATTAGTTTGAAAGGTACTTTCCCATCAACGCCACGGTTTACAAAAAGTTATTAGTAGCTTTTGTTAGAGATCAAACGTGGAACTAAATTCTAAGATGTTAGACCAAATTTTTACGAGGACAGGACTAATAATGTGAAAATAACTAAACCTGTAGAACATGAAATATGAATAGGATTTATTTCCAGAAATGTAGCTTTCCCAAGAATGAAGGAATGAATATATTACTCGCATAATAGAGACAGGCATGCATCATCGAAATCTAGCGTGTTACTTACTTTAATCTCCGTGGTTTCATGCAGAAAAAAAATGGGAATCTTTATTCAGAATATTATTTCCGTGTCACTGCTTGATGAAGCATTAAATAAGCAGGTTACCATACGTGCAAGCTATAAACCAAAGTAAAAGCTTAGCTTTGAATGAAAACGGTAAACCTAATTCCTCAAGCAAATTACGTCTCTCATAGAGAGAAGGTAACTTACGTCAGTTTTGCTGGCTAAAATGGACACGACGGTAGATTTCTGGAAAAAAAAATTCACGTTTATTTAAAAGGTGGGTCAACTCATTCATGAAGAATAATAGGAGAAGAACGCGAGAGCCGGATCCAATTACAGATTCATAAGGAAGAAAGCGAATATTCCAACGGATAAGCTTTTCCCCCAATGATTGACGGAGTTTCTTCATGCGTACACTATTACGCTTCATTTTTTGGTTGTTTAATGAATCTCATGTCTGTTAATTTTTCAAATGGCGTGATGCGTGACGCCTCTTCACGATGAGCATGTCTCTGTATTTCTGACAACATAATAGATTAGATAAGATTTTAACTTCTCATTTTATTTTTTATTTTTTTAACTTATTAGTGTTCAATGTTATTCTATTAACCTAATCAAACATTTGCAATATGTAATCTCACATTGAAGTACATTAATTAAATAAGAATAATGATATTTAGCCCCGTTGAAGTTACGGTGCCAGATAGATTAGATATTTGGACTTGACACTATAATAAATAAGATTTAAATTTATTTTTCGTTTATAGTACTTTACAATTCGAAGTAGGAGCAGGGGTGGGACGGTCCACCCAGCACTCATTTTTTCTTCAAATTTATGTAAAATTTTGGAAATTTTTTTAATATTTACAAAAAATATGTATATTTTGTCCCTTTCACCATTTTTTCCCCTCATCGTGAAAATTCCGACTCCACCCTTGATTTTAGGCAATCCTCCACAGGGGCGGATCCACATGGGGTCATGTGGGGTCAAATGGCCCCACAGTTTTTTTTTCCCTTTTTTTAAAAAATTTTCTGCTGTTGAAACGGTTATTTGGGTTTGGGGTTCCAAATTCCAATTAATTATCCACCCCAATCCATTAATCTTATGAATTTATTTACGTTAATGATACGTTGTTCGAAAAAAATTTCATTTTTGACCCCACAGTCCGAAGTCTCTGGGTCCGCCCCTGATCCTCCGTACTATGTTTGATAAACCGTAAAAACAAAAACCAAAAAATGTACAAAGACAAGAACATAGTTTTATTGGAGGCGACACCGTATTAGATCCGATACAATATAAAAGCTTCAAGCCCAATCAATATTTCCGTAACACGATACAGGGTTTATAAGATCTCCTGCACATTTAAAAGAAATAAATTCTCGCAAAAAAATAAATAAATAAATTAGAAGACTCTAATTGTCATTATTCTTTAGTTAATTCAGCTAGTTGTGATTCAAAAGATCATAGAATTATGCTGCTCAAACAAGGGCCTGTCACCTCAGCCCCTATTACAGGCCTGTCCTAGCTCCTGTGAGTATAGCAGGGTTGACGATTATGATAATCAACTCGGATATAAAAATTCCATCAATCGGTTCATCTAAGAATAACATTAAATTCTAAACAACTAATAAACCACTAAAAATTATTGCAATTACGATGTATACAAGCCACAATGTTAGCAATCAGGAGATTTCCTAGCAACTACAGTTGAAAATGTACACGGAATGCCCTAAAATGATAAATTACTAGGTACAAAGAATTTTGAACCATGATGAACCTCTTCTTCCATGGACTAAATACTGAATTGGAAGAAGAGGATTAAATTGCACTAATTTTGACTATAAATAATCAGACTGCATATACTTAATTCAGTAGCTCCACAATGAATCAAAATCTGAAATATCAGGACTGAATGAAAGAGCATCAAGGTCTTCAAATGGCTTCTTGCTTTCAATATCTCCCTCAGTAGCAATATCAGTACTCAATCCAGTATCTCGGGAATGACTGATCAAAGAATTGTTTGCCGAAAAATGTTCCGGTTTGCACTCCTTATCGAGTTCCAATATCCTTTGATCTGGTGGCATCAAAAGATTTAAGTTGGCCTGTTCAGAACCTTTGAAGGGAAAGATTGAGGGGTAGCGAGACGTCGAGCCAATTCCATCTTGGTAGGAAAACATTGAGTTAGCAGGAACACTAATGTGGGAATAGGGAATTGGATCAGGAAAATTAGTAGTGCTGAAACTATTCAAGTTTTGTGAAGGCAAAAGGAAGGATTTCTGATCATGTTTCATTTGTATTGATCTTGATGATGAAATTTTCCCTTCAAAATCGGGTTCCTGATCAGTTGTAAAACTTGAGCTAGGTCTATCATTGGGATTAGATGTAATATCTGTTAAAGGTGGGAGTGTAGGGCTATCCAGGAGATGATCCACATTAAAAGAGTCCATTCTTGATAGTTCTGCACCAGATGGAACTCTCCTCACTCCTGTGCTCTTGTGGTAAATTCTACAAATAACCCATTCCTCCTGTCAAAGAAACAAGGTAAAATTAATAAGAATAAACAGTACAATAAACAAGATTTTATCTTCTCCATTTTTTTTATTTTTTTTTGGTAGTATCCAATATTGTTCAATCTATGTTAATTATAATTTCTTGAATGTTCACCTTTGCAGCTCTAGAAAAGTCGTAAGAGAAATTGCCTTCAAGTCGATATTCATGCATAACCCAATTGGATTTCTCTCCTTTAGGAGCTCTCCCTTTATAGAAAACAAGGGTCTTTTTCATCCCAACGAGACAGTTCCTTCCCTGCTTGTAGTATATTTCCTTATCCTTTCCAGTTGCCTTCCAGTATCCAGATTCTGTTGCTCGATTCGTTCGCATTCCTGTTGGATATTTTCTATCCCTCTGGCAAAAAAAGAACCATTCTTTTTCCCCCATCTTTGCCTTCTCTGCATAATTAATAGAGTTTACTTTGCGAGGATTAATACCTTATCGATATTGAAATCTGCAAAATCTCAACGGTCGACTTTGTGAATCCTTTTTGCTGGTGAATTGTTAATCTTTTTAGGAAAACTTAATGTCAATACATGCAATTTACTTGCTTTTTTTCCTATCTGATCTTTGAGCAAGTATATTAAGAAGTAAATTATAAGTAAAGTGGAGAACTAATAATATATATTTGACAATTGCTTATATGCTTCTTATTCCATGTTCAGATGAAAAAAAACCGAATAACTATGAAAGATTTTAGCCCATCTCAAGTTTATAAAAACAAATCTTAAATTTTTTGTTGTTTACCTCGCAATCAAAACAAATAGAACTATTTCACTTAAAATCACCACTTAATTTTTTGATGGATTCTTATTTCATTTACAACCAGCTTAAAAAAATCACTTAAAAAGAGAAGAAAATTGTTGATTAAGCAAAAAAGAGAAAGAAAGACAACTTACTCGGTAAATCCCAGGGTTCACACTTATTCAGATCAGCTTCTCCAATAGCTCTTGCTGCAAATCGCCTGTCCATAACCTTCTTGATAAGATAATGAACAATAATCTCCTCATCCGTAGGATGGAATCTGAAACCCGGAGGCAAGTCCATAAGATCATCTTCTTCGTTTACAACAGATGAAGGTACTCGTTCCATTTTTGCTTAAACTAAATAAAACGAAACACCTAGCCCTCTATATATATAACCTGAAAATATTAACAAGAAAATTATCCAGAAGAATTTCTGGAAAGCGATTTCAGAAGGACTCTGATTGGGGGTTTCAGATGTAAAAAGCAAATGAGAAAGATGAATAATTGAGAAAATGAGAAAATATATAGAAAAATAAGAGGTGGGGTGGGGGTTGCTAGTTCCTTGCGGTGGAAGGAAATTGCACGGAAAGACTGGTTGGGATAGAATTATTTGCTAATAAGGTACGATTCTGTTGAGAGTTTTTAATTCAATAAAATCTACCTGTACAGAACAGATCTGTAAGAATTTCACCAGAAGTAGACGTGGCAGCATCAGGTTGATCTTTTTTTCTTTTTTTGCCATGTCCAATATAATTCTGCCACGTGTATTTTGGTGAAATTTTAGCAGAATTTTTCTATACAAGCAGCTGCCGTTTTTAATTAACATAAACAATGGGAAGAAAATTGTGCTGGAAGATTAAGTACCAGCGTAGACAAATTTTTCTTGGGATTTGGCCGGTTCGACACACCAGTCGTTATATGTCAACTCAATCCCCGTTTGATTTTATTAAAATTTATGAGATTTTAATTGAATTATAATCAAACTTAGGATTCGTTTTATTGTAAAGATGGAATTGAATATAATTGAATTGCAAACGAATTTAAGGGAATTGAATTACATAGAAATTATTTTTTTGTAAATTATAAATTATTGTGTTTGACTGGTATAATTTTTCACATGAAAAACGTTAAACTAAAAGTATTTTTTGGTATTCGTTGGCTCTCTTTGACATGAAAATTGTCAATTAAAGGGATAGATTTTACTGGTATTGGGGATGAAACTTGTTTCCATTGTCAAAAAAATCAAGAAAATCATCTATCTTTTAATATTCGTTTGGCTTTGTTTTACATGGAAATTGTCAATTAAAAAAAATATTTTTTTACAATAATTCTTAGAATTTGTTAACTTTGTCTACCAAAAAAATTGAAAAAAGAAAAAATATATGCTACAGTAATCGGGAAAATCAATTTCCACCATAAAAACCAAGAAAATTTCAAATTTCAATAAAAGAAAGAACTTGAATTCCATGGAAAAATATACCCATCAAACATCTTAAAAGTTGAAAAATGTTGTTGAAATTCCATTTTCGATGAAAAATTTTCGTGTATCAAACACACCGTTAATAATATAGATGATTGAAAAATTAATAAAAAATATGGTTCTAATGAAATATATGATTGAACCATTGTCAGATCCCCATTATTTGGCTAATGATGCATTTTGAGATTGTAGATTGATTGAAAATGTATTGTTAAAAAATAAGGAAAAGTTTTGAATTTACATATGAACATACCACACCAATTCGTTAGGTATGGATGATGAGATCCCATTGATACATGTCCAACATCAATTAACGAGTGATTATGCAATAATAAGATCTTGCCTCGAAAGTGTTAGGTATAAGAAGATTTCTTTGTGTAGTAATATTTTTTTGTAAAATGTGTGGTTAAAAAAAAGAAGAAAAAAATATTTTTTGAAAATAATATGTATATAACAAGGACTGATAGCTAGTTTTTAGAAAAATGGGGATCAAGCAGGAACTCACTTTTATGACAAAACCTATTTGATAAAAAAAATTGAGATTATAAATTCAGTCAAATTTTATTTTTAATCACATATATTGCCTTGTTTGACAACCAATATTTCAAACTTTTTAAATCTCATACTCATTTTCAACTGCGTAATTACACAATAAAATATTTTGCACTTAAATACAATATTTCTCTTTACCTTTTAACCACATATTCTCAAAAAATCACTATTAGAAACCCTATTTTCTCAAAATAATGGTCATCAAACATTTATTAGAACTACATTTTTGTTTACTTTTAACCACAAGTTTCATAAATTTCATAATTTATAATTTCAAAAAGCTTTGTCAAATAAAGGCATATTTTACTCAGGATAAGCCAAATCAAAGCATTAAAAAATAGGTTGTCCACATTTTTCTTTCGAATCTTAGTCCCTGTTTGGTATTATTTATATCAGATTTTAATTTAAGTTAAAATCCAACAATCAATTTTAATCACGTATTTCATGGATCTCATAACTATTTAATAACACATTTCAAATACTTTTAACAAAATCTACTAAAAATCTAATTTTTAATCTCCACCAAAAAAGGGCTTAAGCTACGAAAATAGTTAATCTAGTTGGAGTTTGTCAATAAATTGACAAGAATTTGCATCATTAGCTTAATTTTTTAAGTTCAACTTTCATTAATTTATCTTTGGACATACAATAACGTAGAAAGTGCACTTATTTGAAAGTCTAATCAAACACGCGTTTATTTATATGTTTAAAATTAGTCAAATATGAGATTTCTTGAAGCTATTTATATCTATAACGTGAATCTTCCCAGAATTAATTATTATATGAGATGAATAATTACTAATTAATGTACAAAATTAAAAAAAAAATTGAAAATTTGAAAAATATAAGGGCCAACAATGGCTGTGACGGAAGGTCTTAATTTAATGAGAGAGAAAGAGGGAGAGTTTAGGATTGAAAATTTGAAAAATATATGGGCCAACAATGGCTGTGACGGAAGGTCTTAATTTAATGAGAGAGAAAGAGGGAGAGTTTAGGTGTTGACTTTTGGAAACAGAAAAATTCACATCAATAAGTGAGGACACTGTGATGTCATTCACACCTCATTGCCTTCTGCAATCCACTAGAAACGCGACACTAATATGATAGGGAAGTTGAACGAAAAAGAAATGGATATGATAGAAAAAATGGAAAAGTCTGTTTGGGTTGAAACGAAACTATTTTTATGAAGAAATAAAGTGAAAAGTGGAATTAAAAGATCAAAGATCACTTTTAAAAATTGGCTAAAGCATTGATCCGCAAAATCATTGGAGTTTCTCTTAAAGAATTCACATCAAGATATAATTACTTCTGCTTAAATCAAAGAGATAGAATCTGTATTCATTTTCATGCTTTCTCTCGGAAAGTCTACGATCAAGTGGTCAAATCAGAATAATAAATAAATGTACGGATGAAATTGTGGTGTGAATCTCCTATTTTCGTTGTGAATTAGCTTTTAAATGTGAATGGATCGGTCCTTGTGTATTTTTATTTGATTTCAATTTTTATACTATAACGTTACACAATGCTAATCTAGATGGCTATAATTGATTAGTTTAATTAAATGAATCATTTGATATTACATTTAATTAAATTTATCGTGAATTTACATTTAATTTTCTCTAAATTGGTGCTTAACATCGATAAAACTGAATAGCATTAAAGGTTGCTATCCTTCCATGACGGAGAAGTCAATATTTTGACTTTCTATTTGCCTCTCTTTTCTTTCCCTTCACCAAATACAACCCAAAAGGTCACATTAAATGGGGACTCATTTTCTAGTTATGGTTCTAGAATCCAGATAGGCTATTCTCAGTTTCTCATCAATTTTGAATTTTTTATTTTATTTATTTATTTCGTTTTTTGGGTTGGGAAAATTCTGAGCAATTTTTTATAACAACTTGGAATGAGTAAACCAGATTATTACTGGAAGTCAAGATGAGAACCTTATTTTCTTTTCTTTTCTTGTTACAATAAAAGATACAAATCAAAAGAAAGGGCATGTAATTGGTTATAGTTTTCTATTATAACATTTCAAGATTGATTTTTTCGAGATACAATTATGTACGAAATTTTCATTCTAGAAAATTGTGTTACCGATCAAGTATAATTAATCTTTTTCGTAACTTTTTGGGATTATATTCAATTGGTACGTACATAGAATTAAATACGATTAAATATAATTCAAGAAGATGTAAAATATCTTTGTTATAGTTCATGTATTTTTAATTACTATGATGTAATAAATATTTTATAAAAGCACTGTGGCACGAAGTTTTTTGAACAAAAATGGGAACGAAATGAAAATAGGGTTTAAAATTTTGACTCGAAAGAACCATTTATTTCATATTTCAATAATCAAGTGAATAACAATCATAAAAATATAAAACTATTATGTCCAAAAAAATAAAAATGAAAATCCTTTGGGAACATTGCACTGGATGAAACCTTCAATTCAAGAATTGGCTGAGGCACAAAGCAATGGGTACCTTGGCAATTTATCAGCTGGATTCAAGCCGTTGGATATGAGGGAGCATTCATGAAGCCAGCAAATCTTACGTGGCTTATTATTGGCTGCAATAAATAAAATTAAATAAAATAAGAAGATGTGGGCACCTACTTATTATTATAATAGATTATGAATTGAAAATTTGATCTGTTGATAAACTTGTAAATATATAAATATAGTCTCATACAATTCTCGATAATCTCCCTCTATTTATCAAAACTTTTCTTCAGCATCGACCAACTCTTCATGAGGTGACAATGGATCAAGCTGAATTGTCCACGAGCTGATTTGATTTAAAAAAATAATAATAATAAATAAATAATAAATAAACTTCAAAATGAACCGACCGGTGGATTTGGAAAAAGATTGAGGTTGACTTGCTCCATGGCTCATCTTAATCCGAGCCTGAGCTATCCATGTAAAGAATCCGAGTGAGTCGAGCTCGCAAACAGTTTCACCTATTTGCCACTCCTGATCTTCCCCAAATTCACTCTCCTTTTGCAAATGAGTTTTGCTGTTTGTAGCCTCTCACAAGAGGAGAGATCCACGCCAATAAAAAAAATCGTGGGCCCCCTTTTGTGAGGGAGACAGTATACCGGGACGTACACTTAGCAAAACCCTTTGCAAATGATATGGATTTGAACAAATAAGAAGAGATTGATTTAATATATTATTATATTAACCAACTTGTATCATTAATATTTAATCGACTTTAAACTAATTCCGTGGACCCGTTTTTCTCGCAATATAATATGCATAGACTGAATGAAAAATAAAATACAGGTACGGGCGTGGACGGCTGTTCTCATCCCATTGCAGCATTGCATTATGTTATGTTCTCTCCAGGAGCAAGATTTGATGCAGCATGCTATAGACAACATAAGTAGTATATAATGGAAAGAGTGAATTTATTTTAAAAAGTTAAAAGTCAAGTAAAAGAAATAAAAAAAAAAATTTATTTTTCAATCT